AGGTTGAGCACTGCTTAAGTGGAATAGAAAGGAACCTATTTCATTGGCACTGCTTGACAGTCTAGTTATGACGTTGTATCTATAGTGCTCCTTTCTGACCGCATCTGAAGCAGTGAAGATGTTGGCAGCTCGGAGGTTATAGGTTATGTTATCATATCAGAGCATTGTTTTAATAATAACGTTCACCTTGATACGTTTCATTTCCTTTTTTTTTCATCAAGTCACGCAAAATTAAATGAAATATTGTTTAAAATCTAAACAAAGCTATAATAAATATTTTTTTACAGGTTGAAGTAACAAGATTATTTATTTAACCAAAAGTATTTTACAGAGGAATTCAAATATATCTAGATTCAAATGGACATTAAATAATCCAAAACAATTTAACGTCAAGTAAATATTCAAATCCAGAAATTGAAAAATCAATTTGTATTCTTTAATTAACATTCTGATTTACTCATTACCTATTGATAAAATGGTGAAATATTGCCTGCTGTGATTTCATTACATATATATATTTATTACTAATCAACTATATAATAATTACTGTTACTTATCGAACTAATAATTAGTAATAAATTTAAAATCGGAAATAAATTCTCAGTTCTTAAAATAATACTTTATCATCTAATTAATACCATGATTACTTATATTTTTAAATTCAAAATATTACAAGAAACAATCATTTTGTAGAAGGTAGAAATTAATATGTGGATAATTGTTAACATTTCATAGTACAGACATTGCCTGACCTCGTTATTCAACTTTAACTACCAGAAAAAATGGCATGTATTAATTAAATAAGATCGAAACTCTGCCATAAAATCTATTTTTATCCTTCCGATACAAATAAAACCCATTAAATTTAAGGCTAACATTTTTATTTAAACTTATATCAAACTACGCTAAATTGACAAGATTTGGCTGCATAGGTGAGCAATTTCAGGGAAATAGATGAGCATGATACGATTGGCAGCGTGAAATAGCGGTCGCTGCCATGGGATGTACCAGTGAAATAGTACCTTTAAATGACTAACTCAGTGTTTCTCACTATCATTCACAGATAGCACCACGTCCTAGTCAGCATAAGATTTGTGTAGTGGTGGAAAATATGATTCACTATTATACATATCATAAGTATGGATCTATTTTGGGTTAAAGGGAGACCAGAAGTTCAGGTACAGATCACTGAAGGAATTCTTGAATTTCAAAATGCAAGAAATCTGTAATCTTAGGCGAGTTTTCAACTTTCTCACAAAAATATTCTGAATGTAAAACTCTATACCAGAAACTCATAGGAGAGCCATTTCTTTGATAATAGTTGTGATTACCCATAAATAGTCTGGGAGCTGAGGCCAAAAAGGTGGTCTGATTTGAACAAAGTTTTTGACCATGGCTAGGCGTAGGGAGGTGGCGGTCCCATCGCCCGGTCATTGTACCGCAACCAGCCACTGGCCCTCCATGTTGGGGGAACACTTACACGAACACTCACACACCAAGTACACTTTATACAGCACACTACAACACCTAAACACTACAGACAAAGGACACCTACAGTACACACCCTAGGGTCACCTTCCCTAGGTAGCCGCCCCGGATGGGGGAGCTAGTCAGGATGCTCGGAGGAGGCAGCCCCTCTACCTGACTCGGGGGCAGTGGGCTGATAACCCACCCTCCCTAAAGTACCTTATTACGAAACCTCAAAGAGAAGAAGCCGGACTGAATTACGGCAACAGACCCAGGAAACGCCTAAATGACCTAAGAATTGGATTTTGGAACATTTTAGTCATTACATGGACTAGGAGCACTTCTTGCGCTCCTTGCAGAAGTGGACACATACAGAATCGACATAGCAGCTATCCAAGAGGTCCGATGGATAGGACAGGGAATTATGGAGAAGTACCATACACTCTACTACAGCTGCCACGAAAAGCATCACATCTTCGGTACCGGATTTGTTGTGAGAGGCAGAGCTCGACAGCTGGTGATGCGATTTACTCCCATTAACCAAAGGTTATGCTACATTCGGCTTAGAGGAAAATTTTTTAATATCTCTCTAATCAACTGCCATGCCCCAACAGAGGTGTCACCTGAGGAGGATAAGGAAACATTCTATGAAGAACTTGGACGCGTGACAGAAAGCTGCCCCAAAAATGATGTTAAAATCATTCTTGGTGACTTTAACGCCCAAGTTGGTAAGGAGGTGGCACTCATGCCGACCATAGGAACCCACAGCTTGCATGAGACCAGTAATGATAATGGGCTACGGATGGTGAACTTTGCTACATTGCACGGACTGGTGGTTGGAACAACTCTTTTTCCTCGAAAGAATATCCACAAAGCAACATGGATCTCTCCAGAGATCTCTCTAGAGATCTGCCTCTCTTACAGGCAGAGGAGAAAGCTGTAAGAGACTCCGGTATTCAGACCAACGATATAATCTTCAATCACCTGACACAGCTTCTTGGTTTTGCTGATGATATTGACATAATAGGTAGGTCTGAACGGGCTCTCAGAGAAGCGTTTATAGGCCTTGAAGCAGCTGCAAGACCACTTGGTCTAGAAGTCAACGAGAGGAAAACTAAGTATATGAGAGTTGGTGGTGAGGTGGATCTGAACTCTCCATTTGAGGTAGATTCTTTTAAGTTTGAGAGAGTGAAAAGTTTTGTATACCTTGGGTCTGAAATTAATAGCAAAAATGACATAGCTCAAGAAATACAAAGAAGGATCACGGCTGCCAATAGATGTGTCTTTGGACTTGGCCAACACTTAAGAAGTAGGTACCTCTCAAAGAAGACCAAGCTGATCATATACAAGACCCTTGTTCGGCCTGTTTTGACATATGGCTCAGGGGCTTGGACGATGAATAAAAACGATGAGATGAAGCTGAGTGTGTTTGAGCGAGGAGTCCTCAGAAGGATTTATGGTCCAGTAAAGGAGGGTGATGTCTGGAGGAAAAAAAAAAAATAGGGAGCTCAGTTCTCTCTATACAGACATCGACGTAGTCACGTATATTAAACTGGCCAGACTAAGGTGGGCAGGGCATGTGGCCAGAATGAGCACCGTTGAGATACCCAAGAAAATAATGATGGAGGAGCTGCACCTCACAAGACGGCTAGGAAGGCCGAGGACGAGGTGGTTGGACAACGTGGCTTATGATGCGAGAACCCTGTTTGGTGTACGGAACTGGAGAGCTGCAGCAGAAGACAGAGCCAACTGGCGGAGGCTCTTGGAGGAGGCCCAGTCTCGGTAACGGGATGTCGTGCCACATTTGATTGATTGATTTTGACCATGGATCTGCCACCATGGATGGGATGCAATAAAATTTTATCGGTCATCAAAGTCATCCAATTTTCAAAAAAAGTGACTTATTATTAGACAGATTGAACCTTTTCCAAACAAAACTATATCACCTTTTAAAAAATTGACGTCTGCCAGTCACAAGTGGATGCATTCGCCTGGCAAACACATGTAAAAAACTAACTTTTCGGCATCAAAACATGACTTATATGAAGATGGTTGGAACCTTTTCTAAACAAAACTAATCCACTCAGAGGCAAAAAAAAGAGAAAGTAGTCTGCCAATCTGAAGTGGGAGTGTTCCATCGGCAGATGCGCATCAAAAACCATTGGCTTATTCCAAAATAGTTTAAACCTATTCCGAATAAAACTAGACCACCCAGGGATCATAAACAAAAATTTCAAACCGGACGTGGTCGCGTTTAATCAGCAGGAGTTGGTATGTCAAAACCTAACTTCTTTCGTTCATAATTTTACTAATTTGATGATGGATAAAACCTTGTCCCCATTTATATTATTACAGTAAAGCTCGAAATCGGTTTTGTACAAAATATAAGCTCCTGCCATGCTCAAATACCATGAATGGGGTACCGTTGGATTCAGGATTGCATGGGGGGCTAGCAAATCATATTCTCCGCTTTTGTTTTTCTTTCTAAAATAAATAAAGTCGATACAAACATTTTGCTAGCCTTCAATACTGGAACGGTAGTAAGTCTGTAGATCGATACGGGACAAATGGGGCTTTGAAGATTCTGATGTGTACAGCAAGACCCGGATAGTTCTTTCGGAACTATAGGGTCCTGCGTTTTTAGATCCAAAAACGTACTATTTTCGAGATAATGCAAGGCATAGAGTTCGCATCCACACAACCTTACGTTAATTGTAGTAGTCTCATTGAATATATGTCTCATTTCATCAACGACTTGAGGCCTCTATGATCGAGAGAGGGGGAGTTTATATTATTTATCGATGGTATTTTTGATCGGCAAGCCATATCTTCGTTAATTCTTCACCAAATTTCAAGATTGAGCCACCAATTTTGAAGGCTTCCTTCTCATCCAGGCGGGCAAAATAGTATAATCACCCAGAAAATTCAGGCAAACAAGTTAAGAAAGAAAAGAAACTCTATTTGCGAATAACTAAAAAATTACTCACTTTTCCCTTGGTTATGCCCATGATTATATAAAAGATTACTAAATCACCTAAGGTAAAAAAAAATCATTGAAATCGACAATTTTTAGCAAAGATACAACTTTTTGAAGTTTGTACACTTGTTGGTTTCAAACATTAATGAAGTTTTAAATTACTTTTTGTTTCCTTTGTCGATAAAGTAACAATTGATTTCTTTATCTTTTGATACGTAGCATTAATTTCTTTTTTTATTAATTTGGCATTTGATCACTTAACAATATGCTGTGTGAATTTTTCGCACGGGCCTACTAGTATAAAAAATAATAGCATTCCCATAGAAAACAAAAAAAGAAATCTGACAACCGGAATCGACCGAATTTCGCTGGCAATGGTGGTATGCATATCGTATCCTGCTGTCACTAGACACAAGAATGGTAAATTTTATGCTTTAACACACTCAGCCATCAAGACATATCTGTATAAGCATGACCCCTAATCTGTGGACATCATAATGCCAGTAACTACAAGAACGAACATATTGATAAGGATAAGGTTAAGTCATATTGTTACCTTTTCAGATCGGCTTCAAGCTCAGCTCTCAAGTGAGGTTTAGACATCGCAAAACCCATAGTGTCATATCCTTCAACTAATCCCATCCCTATAGCGCTTGGGATAAAATAAGTATTATTTTCAAGGCCGACATAGGAGCGTATTTTTATTTTTTCAATGTGCTCTGCATGTGTAGCATCAGTTCCTGGAAATCAGATAATACATTCTTAGTTATTTACAACTTAATAGCCAGAAAAAAGATAATACATTAATTGAGAGAACAATAGATTTTTTCCTAAAGAAAAACTAATAAACAAGGGTGAATTTAAAAAAAAAAAATCTGCCAATCGCTCAAATTATTACCAAGAAAATTTAAATATTAGAAGTAAGATTAGAAGACAGGAACTTTCATTAAGTCACATAATAGTTTAAGGACCTGTCCACTTTCAACTGTCACACATGGAAAACATGCACTATACCAGACATAGCATTTGCTGCGAACAACTTAGCAGTCAGTTTGCAGAAGGGTTATGGTACAACTTGGTGGTAGCGATCACCGTCCTATTTTAATTTGAATTGACATAGAGGGCTCAGACTCTTTAGCTTCCCTCCAACTGCGGCGGAACCTAAAAAAGTCTAAGTTTGAAAATATCATAAACAAACTCACATAAAATATAAATACAAAGTCCCCCAAAATTAACTTCACAGCTAAGCAGTTCTCAGTGAACTGATAGCTTCAGTGGCTATCCTCAAAACTCCAAGAGAAAGCAGGAAAAACTACAACCCTTACTGGAACACCCGAATTAGAAACTCTGGAAAAAGAATAATCACAGGGCAGGAACATTGCAGAAAGTGAACCATTGACCAAGAACACAATGAAATCAAAGGAACCATTGAAAAAGTTAAGTCGTGAATACTTCAAAAAGAATGGCTTAGAAAGAAAAAAACTAAGAGCTGAGTATGGATCAGGATGGTTCCAAGCTTTGGAAATTTGCAAAAACTCTGACCGGGGATAAAGCAAAGTCAAACATGTGAACTGTGGAAAAAGGAAGTAAAATTCTCAATCAAAAAGAATCAGCAGATGCACTTGAGTATTATAAAAGTGTAAACTAATAGTGTAGTGGCTAGAGTACTATAATGATATGGTGAAGGTTGCCGGTTCAAGACTGGTTCCATCATATTTTTTTGGGAGGCGGGGTGGCCAAATGGGCTAACCCATGTGCACAGCACAGCAAGTTGCCCAGCAACAAGAAAAAAAAAAAACTTGAGTAGTATAGGTGACCTGGACATATGTCATGATAAGAAAAAAAGATCCACAAGGAACTACAAATGTATCTCAAGACAGTTAAATTAGTTCCACGTGAAATGGATGCTCCTTATATGATGTTGGAACTAAACAATGCCCTTAAATCATTAAAACTAACATGCTTGTTTTCCTGGTGAATATGGTGTCATGAATGAGTTACTGATTATAATCGGAAACATGGCGAAGAGACAGCTTCTCAAACTATTTAACACAAGCTGGAAAACATGATTTTTTACTAGAAAGAGGTAAAACCAGCAGGGAATGTTAACAGCTACTGCCCAACAACCCTGTTTAGTTACAACGAAAAGCTTATGGAGCGCATGAAAAAGAACAGGATAATATGGACCCTGGAAAAGAAAAATCTTCTTGGCCAAAAACAAGCTGCCTTCAGTAAAAACTGGTCTACTGAAGACCAGATAGGCTTTATCACACACAGGAGGTAGAGGATAGCTTTCAAAGATTGGAACACACAATTGCAGTGTGGATGGATTTCGAAAAAGCATTTGACAAAGAATGATGGACTGATAATCAAAATTTTCAAGATGGAGATTGCAAGGAATATGGCTAAATAAATATCTAACAAACAGTAAAGGGCGAATTTGCTCAAGCACCCAGAGAACAGTTCTATCACCTACTCTATTTTTTATTTTCATAAATGATATCATCAGAGAACTACCAAAATATGTATAAGTCTCTCTATACACAGATGACTTAGCTTAGGGTGGGATGGCCGAGAGGGCTAATGCCTGTGCACTACATCGCTGTTGACGGGCAACTTGATATATGAGATAATTTGATTAAAATAATTACGAGTTCGCGTCCCGATGATGAGGGGGTCTTTTACCTCTGGTATTAATCCTCAGCCCTCACCCCCTGGCCCAGAAAATCCCCTTTAGCCTAAAAGGTGAGGAAGGGGAGAAAGAAAGCAAACTCTAATTTAATAATTTAATTAGCAATAAGTAGGATATTCCATGTGAAAATGTACAAACAGAGATGAAAAAAGGAGAATATTGGTATCGGCCAAAATTTCCACATCAGTCGATCTCTACATATAAAAATATTAAGTATAAATCAAAATTTAAAGATTTTGTATATATCTATTATAATGGTGTACATCAGGGATGTTTACTCAGGCCACTCCTCTTTTATTTGTATTTAGATGATCTTCCTCTTACGCTTGAAGAAGGAGTTCGTATAGACGGTACCCGTATCAGCGTTTTAATGTATACTGATGACATTGTACTGCTGGCTGAAGATAAGGTTACACTGCAAAGAAATATACACCTTTTAGCAGCCTATTGTGATGATTGGAATTTGACAGTAAATCTTTCTAAATAAAAAATTATAGTTTTTAGGAAAGGTGGAAGACTGACTACTGCAGATAAATGGCGATTTAAAGATTTACCAATAGAAGTAGTCAATACTTATAAATATTTGGGTGTCACGCTAAGCTCCAGTCTTTCATTTACTTACCATTTGAAAGAATGTATATCGGCTACAAAAATGGGCCTTAATAGGAATTGGTCAAATTTCATTGCTCAAGATCTATCCGCCAAAAAAAAAAATATTTGAAGCGATATTACACCCCATCCATAGTATGCTATGCGGCTCAAGTCTGGGGTTTTCAGGGATATGGCGTATTGGAAATGTTTTAGAGATTTTTCATTAAGAAATTGTTTTTGTTGCCTCCAATGACACCAAATAATATGATTTATTTAGAAACAGCCTCAAATCCACTTGAGGTATTCACTTTACAGTTGCATTTTAAGTACTGTCTTAAGTTACTGTGCCTGCCTGAAAGTCATTCCTCCAGACTTATCGCCATTGAAGTGATTAAATGTAATACCTTTTGTTTTGAAAATTGGTGCAATATGGCGGACTTGCAGGTTCGAAAGGTCTTTGGAATGCTTTTCGTTATGGAAAGACCAGTTGGATACAATATGGTCTGAAATCACTCAGCAACTTCAGGAGCAGTGTAAATTAGGGGCATTGAATTCTGAACGATTTCTATTATATAGGGAATTGAATCATGATCTTAAAATTTTGAAATACCTGGATGGCTGCTGTTGGGATTTGACAGGGCGTGAGTTGAGTTAGTTGTTCAAGCTCAGGGGTGAACTCCTTTATTTGAATTACATCCCGTGGCTTGACAGGGAATATATGGATTGTCTACTCTGTAATGTACCAGTAAAAGAGGACCTGTTTTATTTTTTGGCTGAATGTTCAATGCTTGGTCAAATTTTTATAGAATTTCTTGGAACTAGCCAGTTCGAAATGACATCCTAATTTCCCTTCTAAATGCTCCCTCTATGAACGAATGTCGTAAAATTGTTGGTTTTGCTCGACATGGGTGGAAACTACCTCCAGCATAAACAATGATCCATCTAATTTATTTGTTATCAGTTTTATTCATACTATTGTTAATGATTTCCATTATTTTCCTTTGTAATTATTTCTTAGACATAAATTATTCAAAATATTTAATTTTATATTATGTTAGTTTTTTTATTATTTATCAGTCATTCATTCATTTGTAATTGTTATAAATTCTGTAATTGTAACGTACCTGTAAAACGTATACAATTTCCAGCAGACGAATAATCATGCCATATGATTCCAATGCCACAATGATTCTTTGTGTTTTGGAAATTTATAATTTATACATATTTCATAAAGCATTTTTCATTCATTCATTCATATATCTATTTTTTTTTTATCCATGTTTCTGCATTGTATGTACAAATAAAGGTTATTATTATTATTATATACACACAAAGAGAAGAGTGTGTAGAAGATAATTAAAAAATAAAATACTTTTAAATAAAATAAAATACATTTCCAAGAAATACAATCTTATGAATAGGAAAAGTAGAAGTTGAGATAAACAACAAAAACAAAACAAAACAAAAATTTACCTCCTCACAATGCTTTGTGAAAGATGATGGAAAATCTGTTTCATACTCAAAACAGAACAAAAAAAAAATGTATAAAGACAATTAAAACCTTGTTACCTGATAAATACTTAGGAAGTGTCTGATTGAATTGTGAAGAGAAATTGGAATAAGGTTTTAAATGTGGATGGCGGATTTTCAGTTTATATATATTTATGTAAACACACACACACACACGCACACGAACGCACCTGCACACGCGCACTCACCCGCATGAACGCGCACGCACCTGCACACACACATGTATTAAAATGTAATAATAAAAATTAATAAATGTAAAAATATAAAGAATTAAAATGATGCTTTAGTTGTTTTATCATTTTTCCATTCACCCAATAAAAGTGTTTGAAACACAAAATAAATTTAAGTGCAGTAATAAAATTTATATTTGCACAATTTTAAATATGGAACTTTTCTAGGTGAGAAAAAAATTTGTAAATAAAACAAAATAAAATTTAATTTTTATTATCACTTACAGTTATTTTTGTCATCATTTTCAGTTATTTTGCTTTTCAGAAATGAGCAAATACGCAAGAAAGCGAAGTGTTGCGAGATTGCCGATCTAATTATGCATTGCTATGTGGAACCGGGAAGGCATATACCCCTTTTTTTAAAATTGAATAAAAATATTAAAATGCATTTTTGAAAGCTAAGTTCTTGCAGGATGACTCAAAATATCATTTTAAACAAATATGCAAACATAAACTCTGTTTTTTTTAAACGTCTTTGTGGATTTCAGAATGCAACGTAATGTAGAAACAACCGAATGAGCTCCCACAGTCAAACGGTTAATATTTAGCTGTGGGAGATGGCATTTAATTTAATATGAAATAAAACTGTTTTGAGATCCAAACTTAAGATTGGTAACATGTTACACAGCTCAGTGATTTAAATGATTTTTTCAATATGATATTAAGTGAACTAGGCTTAGGATAATGTAGGTTTGTCAGTTAGAATATTTGAAGTTTTAGAAGTGTAGGTGTATTTAAAATTAGCTGGCCATTTCTATTAGTACTACCAGTAATTTCAATTTTTTTTTTCCTATTCAACCCTTCTTCTAATAAGTACTTGCTCATTTAAATTAGTTAAATTTTGCATGTTGAAAAGGCAGATAGATTTGTTTGGCAGTAGGAATAATGAAATTATAGTTAATATACAATGATTAATCAAGTATTATTAGCAGGAACCACTTCTATTGATTTTAAGGAGATGATGGGTAGAATGCTTGTTTAAATTTTCATTGATGTGCATAACTCTGCCGCCATTTCAATCTCAAATTTGAAAATTTTGTACAGTTCATTAAAATTTCAAAATTTTATTTTAATTTGAAATATGATTTTCAGTTATTTCCAACTTTTTTTGAATGGTTAAATAAATTCAATTCCTAAAGGTCAAGTACTTTATTTTTAAAAGATCTTTTGTTCTAAAGTAAGCAATTTCTAATAAAAATCTGAATTAGCAGAAGTTTTTAATGATTTGTTGCCAAATAGATCTTTGTTAATTTTGAATTGGAGTAGAAACTGTACAAGTGCTCTGAATCAAGTAGAGAGGTTGCTCTTAGAGTTGGTATTGCATGAAAACTTCAAGTTATTAAAGTGAGGTTAAGAAATTACCCAGTTCTGTCATACAAAACAAAAAAATTACAATATATAGCAATTTTACCGATTCCATGTTTTTCCATTAGAGAAATCAAATCTGCTTCAGTCAGTAAATTGGGAGCTGTTGTCTCACTTTCAGAAATATCCAGAAGAGTTGGAGTAAAAGTGGTGCCTTGTTTATATTCATGAATGCATTTCGCCGACCAATTCTCATATGGGTAGACATCTAAATAATTCCTTTCAAGAATCATCAAACCTGACGCTGTAAACTGCAACAAAAATATACTTTTGAATTATTATACCATATAATAGTATACTGTTGGAGCAATAAAATACTCTCAGCCCTCTTTAGATGGGGCTCAAAAATGTCTTATATACCACTGTGCAAGTCAACAAATGCAATTCGACAGTCACACTGCAAAAGCCTGTAAGGACAATATCTTTGGAAAATGAGGTTTTGAGCTTTTCTGGTCAATCTTGACAAGGCACATATACTATTCCCACAAAATAAAATCTATGACGTTTCATTTCTTCTGGTATTTTATAAAAACCAACCAATTGTGATGTAAAAAAACGCAATGAAATGCTCAATGAAAGGTGGTTATGTAAATATAGAATGTACTAAGCGTTTGCACAAAGGCTACAGTATAAATTAGGGTTATTATATGTATTATGTCAATCAAACAGGTTTTCAGTCTAATGGGCTACATACTGTCATAAACAATCTCTTTCATTAAAAGAACATCAATAACTTAAATTTTGTTTTAATGATGACACTTTATCTAAATTTTTGAATACTTGATGGTTGACCATTGTATATTTTAGAGGAAGGAGATGAGCCAAGGTGGCCTTCATGTCAGTTATTTCATATTATTTTTACTTTTTCTTTCAATATTTCCTTATGTAACTTCTAAAATTTTCTATATCCTCATGTATCTTGTTCATACTTTCAATACTTGAAAAGTCGGGTCAAAACGTCAACTTGAAATAAAATAGTTTTTTCACTATTTTAGTCTTTTAATGACTGCCATCCCGGGCCATCTCCTTCCTCTAAAATTTCAAATTTTGTTTTCCACCAATGATAATCACAAACCCTGTATTTTTTTTGTATTAGTATCCACAATAACTAGGAATAACAATACTTAGAGGCTAGCAATTCAAATGGAAAGTAAAAACTGTATTCAACAAGGCAATGATGCAAACATTTAAAATAATTTATAAAACTCTACCTCATAATTTATAAAACAGTGATACTAGAAAAATAATAAATGAAATCCTAATACATTACCCATGTCCAATATTAATACAATTAAGGAAGAATTAAACAATTCACAGCGTCCTTGTTCTTTTCTATTACATGTAACTTAAATCTTCTCCCCTTCCCTCACCTTTAAGGCTTTACGGGGTTTTCACGTGCCAGGGGGTGTGGGCAAGGATTTAAAAGACACCCCCGGCACCGGGATGTGAACTCGTGACTATTTTAAATCCATTGTCTCATAGATCAGGTTGCGGGTAACGGTGGTGCTGTGCACTCACATTAGCCCGTTCGGCCACCACCCCCACCTTAAATCTTCATGTATCAATCAAACAGATTTTTGGTCTGAGTCTAATAAATTTTCAGTCTACATACTGGCATTACCAGATTCTAAAGAAAATGTTTCAGGATCATGTAGGAGAGCTCTAGCGATTAATTAATAATCAAAGAACAAAACACTACTGACATTCCTTTAAATCTGAATTTGTCAGCAGCATTAAGAGTTCGTAGTGATTGGTCCCTTGAAGTTTGATTGGATTTAATACATTTTCAAAATTTTTCTTGTTCTCCCTTCCTCCCCTTTAAGGCTATATGGGGATTTCCCATGTCAGGGGATGAGGGCAGAGGATTAATGCCAGAGTTAAAAGCCCCCCTTGGCACCAGACATTTTCTACATAATTACCTATATGATAGACAATTATCTGTATCCTACATAATTATCTGTAAGACAGACAATTATCTTAGCAGCCTTTATGTAATAACATACAAAACGCAATGCTCCAAGAGGTATTTAGTTAAGGAGTTATCTTTTTCAAACATTACCAAAATTACGTGTCAACTTGAGCCTGCAAGATTTATAACTGATACTTTAAATTAATTTTTAAGTATACATCTCAATTATTCACATTTGTTTATTTTAATTCCTAAATTGTCTTAATCTCCAAAACAATTTAAATAATCTGACCAGTTATTCCAAGCCATTCCCATTGCTATCAACTTACATTATCTGTATTTACTTTTTTATTGAATTGTCTGATTAATTTTTCTGAATCCTATCAGAACGAGAAATTAAGTAAGAATGTGTAAGTTACCTCCATCCTGTTGTGTATTTTGCCAGGAGCAACTCTTTACCTTCTTCTTCATTAAAAATATTTGAATTTAATTCACCCTTCCTTTTAAAATTCAGCATATCATAGATAGAAGTTTTATATTTTTTAAAATCAGCTTGTGTATAAAATGTACCTTAGTTATATAAAAGAAGTATAAGCCTATGAAAGATTTAGGTTTTACATCATCTCATGTTTTGGCTTTCAGTCTTAACCTTTTCTGACATTGTTTAATGACTTTACTAGTTCCTTCCTAAGGTGTCCCTAAATGTTTTGCAAGGCTGTAAATAATTTAACTATTGAGAATGGACTTAATGTTCAAATAAGAATAAATTACCACCAGTAATGATCAAATTAATTTAGGAAAAGTGGCTCAAAATAGAAAAACGTAAGGAATCTTAACAATACAACTGGGAAAAATAATCTAGAATACCTTATTCTTTTGTGCAAACCAATGTGTTTATTTTATATAAAGAGTTCTTGGAAAATAAAATATTCAATTAAAAATATCTAATTAAGACACAGGGCACTTCACATGGAAGAAAAAAATTGAAATACACTTTATAAATAAGGACAAAAAAAATTTACTAAGAATCAATATGTATAGCCAAAACAAAATTTATCAACTTTAAATTAAACTATTTTATATTAAATTTTATAATATCAAGAACTCAACAAATGTATTTCTAAACTTTCAGACACAAATAACAGTGAAATAGTACAGTAAGGCATAATATTTATCTAATTACTAGTTTATAACATTAGAAATATTAACAATCTTTTATCGTAAAATTGATTAAAACATAAATAGACAGAACAAAAACAATAAAAAATTCTAAAACTAAGATTTTGTTTAGTAAACAATTATTTGATTATTTGTTATTTTTAAGGGGCTCTCGTATTTAAATTACAACCAAATGTTTTTTATTTTTTAAGTTACTTACTTTGTTTTAGAATACCTTTTATTTTTTTTCTGTCTATTTATTTTTTAATCAACTTTAGGATAAAAGATAGTTAATATTTCTAATGTTATAAACTAGTAATTAGATAAATATTATGAACTTGTAATGCTGCTGACAAATTCAAATTTGAATAACAGAACACTTCTGGCATTCCTTTAAATTTAAAGGAATGCCAGAAGTGTTCTGTTCTTTGATTATTAATCAATCACTAGAGCTCTCCTACATGATCCTGAAATATTTTCTTCAGAATCTGGTAATGCCAGTATGTACCTTATTAGACTGAAAATCTGTTTGATTGATAGATGAAGATTTAAGTAACATATAATGGAAAAGGATAACCCTCAGCCAGCATTAAAACTCTTGTAGGAAATTGTGAATTGTTTAAATCTTTCTTAATTGTATTAATATTGAACATGGATAATGTATTAGGATTTCATTTATTATTTTTCTAGTATCACTGTTTTATAAATTACTTTAAATTTTTGCATCATAGCCTTGTTGAATACAGATTTTACTTAACATTTGAATTTGTAGCTTCCTAAGTATTGTTTTCCCTAGTTATTGTGGATCTAATTCAAAAAACGTACAGGGGTTTGTAATTATCATTGGTAGAAAACAAAAACTGAAATTTTTCAACTTTCTTCTTAGAAATTATACAATTACAGATAAAGTGTCACAATTAAAACAAAACTTAAGTTAATCAACCTCTTTAATTTATGATAAGCAAACTGAAAAGCATTAATAATAATAAATCTCGAAGTTAAAAAAACAAAAACAGGCAATATATAACACGATAATCATAAATAATATTAGAAATATATAATGAGAAAAAAAATTTATTGAGATAATATGGGTCTATAAACAACACCAAAAGTAGAAAGTTTGCTTAATCGATATACTGAAGAGACAAAAAAGTCGACAAGTTAAAAAAAAAAAGCTCGTAATATATTTTATAAAAGTTGTATTTGGTAATTATTTGTAATGAACGTAAAGTGGATGGTTCTGACAAGACTACCCCTCCACAATAGTGACGCTTCCTGGTGCTATCTTGTAAACATTATCTGAAACATTGTGGATAACCTGGAATCAACCAAGATGGTGCAATGGTTTGGAACAATTACCTAAATTAGTTTTATTAATAGGCTAAAATTAATTTTTCTCATATCCTATTGTATTTTTTTTTTAAACTTCTAATTAGTGGTGGACACTTCAAGCCCGGCGCCTCTGGGAAAATACCTGGTTTCTCCTGTTCTGAGATTGGCACTGCTTACAATGGAACTAGACAAAGCAAAGGAGAGAATTCGAAACTTCCTGGCAACTGCAAAACAAGCTTGACTGGAAAAAAAGCTGCCAAATTCCAGATAGTGTTAGAGATGACGCAACAATATATCTCCCCCCTCCCTTGCTACCATATCTCCACTCTATTCGAACGATCTCTTTGAGCAGGTTGGTTTTCTATCTTTTTGTAGCTTTCTCCTTTTTTTCCTCCTTCCTTTCATTCTGTTTTTCCATATTTCTATCTCTACTTTGTATATATTGATACATTTGCTCATTTATTCTTTACTTTATTTTAACTCTTTATTCTATTATACGTAGTCAGTACATTTTGATAGACTTTAGAATATCTCAATTTTTTATCTAACTATCCTATTTACAATATCTTAATTTTACTATTTATTTTTATTTGTTATACAATGTTCAATATTGGGGAGCCCGGTACATGCCATATGTCCGGGAGCCCTGTTCTTGAGAAATACCAAAATAAAGAAATGTTCTATAGAGGAATACTTGTGAATAATTAATTCTTTCTACATACAGTTTGATGTGGGGGCCGCGCGCTTTCTCTCTCTCGCTCATCCTAGGTCCTGGAAAGCCGAAGGGCTGTGATTCTGGAGGCCTGGTCAGGAGGTAGGTCGTAAACCGGATTTTTACTTGCTTCGCTCGCTAGCATCTGTGTCTTTTGGCCGTAGATAAGGCCATCTTAGAGAGGGGGTAGTGTAAGTTGAGACCGGGGGTCCCCCGTGTTATTTATATAAGCCAATTAATATAATTTAAAATACTGCATACAATAAAATTTTGGATGTAAATCTAACATACAACTTCATATTACTTTTTTCTGTTTTACATTTTATTTTAAGATTACCATATATATTATAAGGTACTCATGTCACCTTATTTTGATTATGTTTACTTCATTATTCCACACTTTGTAACAGTTATTATTATTCATTTTGCTTGAATATTTTTTTACCTACATTGTTTATGTTTCTCATACCTTGTTATCTGGTTCTTTTCTTAGGCCTGAACTTCAGGTTGAAACATCGGCAAATGTTAAAATAAATATTATTATTTATTTTTGCCTTTTTATTTTTGTAACAAGATAACTCAGATGTTGAATAAGTAAAATTTTACAGAATGAGGAGAGGACTTATTGAAACTAACTTATATTTAAGAAACCCTGTGTGTGGTCCTCTTTTCACCAGGGTTTTTAAAACAAATTTATTTAAATTTACTTATTATACACTATTAGAGTTTAGAGACCTGGAAGCATTTGTTGTATCTCACTCATTGGTATTTTCCATATCTTTTAGATTCTCCTCCATCTTTCCATCATTCAAGATACTATAAAAATGATTTTGCCATTGCTCAAGGACATGCTTCTAATTCGTAATATTTTGTTCATCATTACAGCAGGCATTCAATAGTTGTTTAAAGGAGTGGCGACTAGTATAGATTTTCTGGTAATACTTTCTTATTTAATAAGAGTTTGAAGATTTTCCTGACAATGTCGGTTCCATGGTGCTATTTTGATTGATATTTTCACCTCCTGTCATACCCTTTTTAGCCTGATTGCAACTAGGACAAAACCAAGCTTTTATTTTTGCTAATTTTATAGCACCTGCTGTAAAAAAGTTTGCGCTTAGTGCAACATAAAATATTTTTTTCATCTCTAGCGATGGTGCAGCTGCATATCGGGCAATGAGCCATATTGATATAAAGTAAATAAGTTGTATTTACAGTAATAAGACCGGATTTTATGATCCGTAAGACAACAGTGGGGCTTAATCTTATAGAACTCAGTTGTTTACCACCGTCCCGTAGTTCATAATAGTTTATAATTTAACTATAAAACTCGTTCAACTGAGAGGAACCACAAACTGTCAATGAAATATATAGTTGAGGAAAGTAGGAGAAAATGATTCCTCTGAGGAATATTCTAGTTGAAATGTTTAAAAAAAAAAAAAAAAAAGGAAAAAGAGGCCGATGTTAATGTCAGTATCAGTCAATCTCTAGTACTGTCCTCAATGTGCAAGGAAAGAAGCAGCAAAGAACTGGAGCAAACATTGACTTGCTTGTGATACATAAACAACAACAAATGCACAACAGCTGTTTGCATAATAATTGTGCTTCTTTTAAATAAACATAATTTCTTAAATGTATATATAGTGATGTAGAGATGGTTGACCGTTTATATAATATGAGAAGGAGTTAGTCGGGAGTGTGGTCAGATAAATACTAAATTAAAATATAGTAATTATTTTATTTCAATTTTGCCGACGTTTCGACCCACTTTGCAGGTCGTCTTCAGGGCTACAAAAGATACATGTTCTGTGTTGATTTTCAACATGTTTCGTATGTTTTGTAGCCCTGAAGACGACTTGCAAAGTGGGTCGAAACGTCGGCAAAATTGAAATAAAATAATTACTATATTTTAATTTAGTATTTATCTGACCGCACCCATGACTAACTCCTTCTCATATTAAATGTATATAGTTTTATTAATTAAAATAATTAATACTTTAAATTACAAAGGAAAAATATTTGCTTCTCTAATATTGCTTCAATATATAGCGTTGATACCATAGACATAAATATTAGAAATATTTACAAACCTTTTCTCCATTGATATCAATTTTTACAGTTGTTTCGTGGCCTTTAGCATCTTTAGAAACACATGCTAGGAAATGCCTAACAATGAACTCATATATTCTAGCTTCATTTCCTGAAACAGAAATTGATTTCAGAATTCAATTTCCTCATAGTATTAATAACTTCTCCTCCCTTCCTCAATTTATACTTTTTTGAGAGTACATCTCATAAAGCCTAGTACATACTAGAATGGGACATGTTAAGGATGGCTACTGATAGTCAATAATATAGAAATATTTATATTTTTCCATGGTATTTCGATATTATCGATTATTGATAATGTCCCTTTTTAATATAAAAATAATAATTAAAACTATTGTTTTCCGAAAACTCTAAGGATTCCATATAAATCTGATCAATAGAAAAAAAAACTATTTTCATGTAGTATGTAAGTAAATTAGCTTTCCACAGAGCCTGATCTAAGGGTGAATGGAAGGTATAATTGAATAATTGGAAATTTATAGAAAAAAGGCTGAGGATGACGAAGATGGACAGAAACCAGGAAATTAATTTTACTAAGGAGGATAGGAGTATTGATATTTCCATTAAATAATACAAGGAGAAAAATAACATATTTTTTGATAACCCTATTTTTGGGGTGGCGGAGCTGGCTAACACATGTGCACAGCACTGCGAGATGGAAGATGATCAAACAAAATATTTACAAGTTCACATTATGTTGTCGGGGAGGGAGGGGGAGGAGGGATTTTTAACTCTGGCATGAATCCTCACCCTCACCCATGGCCTGGGAAAAACCTCTTGTAGCCGAGGCGAGGACAGAATTAAAAATACATATCGTAATTCACAAAAATGTACTTAACAATTTAGCGTCATCGGAAATGTACTTAGTAACTTTTTTCATCTTCATATACAGCTGATATGTAGGTATCAAACAACTATTTTGCTAGAAAAAAGTGTTCAACCTATGTGCAGGGAAAAATAATCAAATCTGCAAATAACCTCTTATTTACAGGTTTCACAAATTAAAAACTGAGTGAACTTTTTCTGAAAATACTTATTTCTTCTAAGAGGGTGGTAAATGAAAGTTGTGTGATGCGCACAACAGATTGTTTTAAAATTACATTGATAAGGAATAAAGACGTTATTTAGGTTGGCTATATGAACAACAAATTTAATAAAAAAATTAATATATCTGATTTTGAAAGAATTTACCACTTAAGGAATTTGAGTACAATATTGGATGTATAGGTGGATGGGATTGATCTGATTTTTTCCCTTGTCTTGGACGAGGACCTTCCCGAAGAACATTTCGAGCAAAACCTGAAATTAATAATAAAATTTATCAAACATTTACAATTTTAGATTAGCAATTAATGTTGCTCTTCAATATTACTATTAATAAATATATTTATTATTAATAAATCTTTTAGAGGTGTTCAAGCTAATAGTATCATTATAATAGATTTAATAGTAAAATCATTACGTTACCTCCCCAGCTAGGATCTTTAGTTTGTAATTCTACAAGTGAGGATAAATTAATAGAATCAGGAAATATGTTTGTTTCAGTTCTTGGATAACTAATTAAACCCTGTGTATAAAGTTTCTCAGCTATTCTTAAAGCTTCTTTTGCATTTATTTTCAATTTTCTTGAAGCAATTTTCTCCATTTCCTAGATTATAATTTCAAGTGACTTAGATACAATTGTATCATTACAGAAAGTATATTAAATAATAAATATTTGTGAATATCCCCTAAGTCCCGTTAGTAGAGGGAAATATTTAAAAGAGTGACAGAAGACCTCAATAGATACAAAAAACATTATATAAATATAAGATTTTTTGCAGGAAATAAGTTCCGTTCTTTCGATTAATAGAAAATGATAACTAAAACAAATATTTAATTTAAGTAATTACCAATTACGTCACAGTAAACTTGAGCAGATAAAGTAAGCCAAGTTCTGGTTTAAAAGATAATCGTAAATTATTCATGATTTTTTATATCAAATCCCCAACTATATTGCAAATAACCCACTTTTAGAAAAGCTTTCTTGTTTTTAGCTTTAAGTCCATATTAACTAAGTTGAGCTTAATCACAACAAAATAAATGGAGATTCTCCTCACGTGGTATAAAAAAATTAGATGGTTTGATATCAAGCAAAATGAAAATGGATTCAGCAAAATATTATGACAGAAATTTAAACATTATTTATATGCTAAATTTAATATCTCAACAATATATTATACTAAACATAATTGCATATATATGCATTTTATTTACAAAATCTTTTTTTTTAAATTCTTGTGTGTGTATGCGTGCGTATGTGTGTGCATCCTTATAAATATATACATTAAACAATTATCATACTGTAGTGTCCAAAGGTGTAGGTCTCCATTTAGACTTTGGTTTTCCTTCTACTTTTTCAACTTTTGCGATTGGATTTTCTTGACACCTGGACAGTATTGACCTACAAATTGCTTCATCATATAATCGATCTCTTGCCCACCTGAATTCTACTACCAAATCATTCATTTCATGTGTGACTAAAAAAATGAAAAAAGAGTGGTATTAAAATTGAGAATATGAAATGTTACACATTCCTTTTAATAAAATACAATATTTTACATCTTCTCAAATACAAAACCAGAAGAAATACTCTACCTTTTATTTTCCAAAACGGCTCAGCTATGAAATTTTCTCTTTCTAAATATCTCTCAACCACAAACCCTAAAGTAGGAAACTGACAACTACCATAACTTAATAAATTTTCGGCTAAAACAGGAAATACTTTCTGTAATCTTAGAGTTTGAAATCGTGTGAAAGCTGCTCCTAAAACAAATGAAAATAACATCCCATCTTTTAAATATTAAACTATCATTAATGTAATTCAGGTAACATTATAGAGTATTATCATACCTATTCGAAGATCCAAAACTTGTCTTACATCTACAGCTTCACTAATTAGTTTGTTCGGTCTTTCAAGATTTTGAATAGCTCTTTTGACTGAAGGAGAAGTTATTTCTGAGAATTTTGCTCTATTGAAGAATGAAATATTTGTTATGAATGTTTATTAAACAAAACATAATTAATAATGTGCCCTTGATTTTACCTATAAACATCTAGGTTGGGTTTAATTTTTAAACAAGTATCAATTATTTCAAAACCAATATTTTCTCCTTCACGATCGCAATCAGTCCAAATGATAAGCACATTGCAAGATCGACACTGGGACTCTAAAGTTTTCTTTCACATGAAAACAAAAAAATTAATTTATTAAAATTTTAACAAGCATTATAAATTTATAAGCAATAAAGTTGTTAGAAACCTTAATTCTTTCAAAATCAGGAGAACAGGATTTAATAACTGGAGCTGAAAATAAAGACTCAGGGCTGCAAGATTGCCAGTTTTTGTAAGTCCCAACAAATTCATAGTTCAACAGATGTCCACTCACGGATGTCATAACCATTCTACACATTTGGCCGAAAACCATGGCGTCAAACTCATATAGTTTGTTGTAAATAGAAAATCCCTCTTTCTAAAATATAATATGTAAGATAAAATGTTAAAATTTAATTTTTAATTAATGGATATAACATGACTTTATACTTACTCGTCTTGCGTTGCCATTTGATAAGAAATAAGCAATGTTTTTCGCAGCATCATTTTTTTCTGCTACATTCAACACTTTCATCACAGAGGCTATACAGTAATATTTTACAGGGGACTTAACACAACTAAAACTTGATAAAAAGGAACTAAATTTGAAGAACATTCAATTTTGTATGTAGCTTTTCATAAAAAATTGAAAAATTAACAAAGACTATATATAACACTCTTTTATAAGCGATTCCATAAGTATGAAATGAAGCAATCCCGCCTTGAACTTTGTAATGTTGTTATCACAGAAGAAGGTTATATTTTCGAAAAAGTGAGTTGTGCCAGTTATTCAACAGTTATTTTCTTTTCAGAACACTATTAAATTGTAGACTTTTGTATATTCGGTATGCCAGTAATGAAACACATGCCTAAGAAGTTTTTAAGCAGTAAGATAATATATAATTAAACATAAAAAAATTAAAATTTTAAATTTAATAATTATATTTAATAATTGAATTAAAATATACTATTCGTTTCAGGTTATCTTTATAAAAAAGATTCTATGCTCCTTGTAAGTTCTCTAAGTGAAAATTATCTGCACACAAACATAATAAATAGTTCCAAAGATAGCAAAAACTCAAAAGACACTCAAATACCTCACATCCCAGAACCTCCAACTAACTGTTGTATGTCGGGTTGTGCCAATTGCGTTTGGATTAAGTATGCTGAAGATTTATCTAAAATATTCGATGATGCTGAAAACAAAGTTAAGGAAATTATTTTGAGTAAAGTCGATGATCCGAATATGAAGGCATTCCTTTTAATGGAGTTGAGATCTATGAAATTTAAGAAATAATTATACTTATCCTGTTTTAAATAGTTTTCGTAGACATAAGAAAAATTATTGGATATTTATAAAATGCACCAAAAATAAAATATTTTTAATATCTATATGTAATGTGAAAATGTTGTACAACCTAAGTATTTATATGTATAATTATTTTATATTTATAGACTTTCGTTATTACAGGAGTTGTATTACAGAAATGACTCTCACGAAATTTTAGCATGATTTTTCTGATAATAATTATGAAGATTAAGATAGCTGAACGGATAAACAATTTAAATATGTAATGGACTTATTTTAAATCAATTTAATATTGGAACTAGAGGTGGTGGTTATTGGAAAATAACAGGCTACCGATTACTCCGTTTTTTTTTCACCATCGGTTTAACTGACCGGAAATGAATTATTATTTTCGGTTTATGTATATATATATTTTTGTGGGGAAATCATTTTATCAGTCTTTTGGTTTTATCAATTTATAAAAAAGTTGGTTCCCAAAATACAACATTTTAAAGTTAATTTTATTTTACAATTAAACAATATTAAACTTTACATACAATTATAATTCAATTTTGTCATTTTTTTTTTACTTAAGGTAATAGTCAAATAAAGGAAAAATATTAATTTCGTGTATAAATACAATTACTGTTTAATTTAAAACAATAATTGACAGACCTTGAACACGATAACCTAGGAGTAACAAGAATTCGAGGCTTGGGTCATGCCTTTTGGAATAAAAAAATAAATAAGTCAATTTAATACTAGAATTAAATTTTTTTTTTTTAGAAATAACAATATGAGTACTAAGACAAAAAAATTCGAGTCATTTATTTCTATCAGATATGGAACTATAAAAAATATCTGGTTATGGAACTATTTAAAAATAACCAGTAATGAACGGAGCAGTCAACTAACCCGAAAACCAAAATGTAAATGATCCGGCTTTGGTCATACCAGCTGGTCATCTCCATCCGAAATTGGAGTATATCCACGAAATTGCAAGACATCCATGGACCGTGTTACAACGAAGGTTTATTTTACTTTAATTTAATACAATAGTAAGAAAATATTATGTTATTAATTTATTAAAAATGAATATTTTATTTGTATTACAGTGTATTTCCAAGAGATATTACTCCCCCCCCCCCCTCCATCTTTTGAATCATTCCTTAATATTCCCCACTTCTCATCTTTCCACCTCCTGCTTTGGTTTAGTTCCTTCGCGGGTTCTGCTTCAGTTGTGATTAATACAGTCAGCTCGCTGCTTCATGGAAAATCGCTGTTGGTACGAATTACAAGTGAGTACGAATTTTATAGCTACGTTAAAAATGCATCGGTAATTAAAAACACAAATTTAATTTATTATTAGAAATTAGAAATTACTATTTCGTCAAACATGAAATTCAAAGCTGTTGAGTATGAACAATGTTTAAATTGTCAAATAATGATTGGGAAAATAAATAAATTGTATTCTTTATAAGATTTAAATATTATTTAAAAAAAAAAGTTGTAAATACATAAAAAAATGTAAAGGAATGATTGAAAAACCCCTCTTTCATGTGAGATCAGTATGGCTTCCTCTCTATTTCGATTGGTAACATAATCTTGTATATTTGAAGATCTGTAATTTTTCGTTTGAGAATAAAGAAAATCGTAAAAGCCGTTTTCAAAATATAGTAACCCGGCAATATTTGCGGTTTTGATATCCGGGAGTTTTGGTCATAAGCGAGTACAAAAATGCGGAATAGTTCCATCTTCACGAATTGCGTATTTGACTGTGACAAAAAAAAAAAAATCACAAATTAAACAATTCCCTGTGCACTATGTGTATAAATGTTGAACATATATATTTACTTTACTTGTTATGTTTTTACCTGTAAAATGAATGGATACGATATACATTGAAACAATTTAGTTCTAGTTTGTTTGGTATTACCGAAAACGACATTTTCAATCAGTCAGAACAAAACTAATTTAAGGAGGAATATAAGAACATGAATAAACTTTACAAATTAATCGAAAAGGAGGTCTAGACTTATTTAAAACGTATTGATGCCTACGTCTTATCCTTCATCAATAACTTGTTATTATATGACTCTAACATGACTTATGACAGAAATATGACTCCCTACCACTTTGAAGTTTAAAATTGAATTCGAGTCCACGAAGAGCTACTTGAACTTCAAAAGAAACAATCACAAATAACACGTTATTTTTTACAATCTGTAAAAATTAATTTAAATTTAAAGATATATATTTAATATGTATAATTACATAAAAAAAAAATGTAAAATGGCCTTCATAAAATGTATTTACAAAGAAACAAAGATAGAATTTAACAATTCGAAAATATGAAAAATAACCCTGGCGAATGTCAAGAGATCACAGTACACATTCCTTATGGTCAAAGAAAACCCAACTGTGCAAAAGAAAAGGATGAGAATTCGGTAAAATTTATCATGGGTCAGTTAAGTTTCAACCATCCCAATCATTAACAATAACACGTAATCTATGTAACGTCAGTAGCTGTTATGCCAATCACATGGGATCAACAATAAAATACAGCTTAAATTTTTGAATGCTCCAATATCATTTAAAACTAATCTAATAAATCTATAGCATAAATTTAACCATACCTTTACTGCCAACCGCATTTAGTAATATTCTTAACGTTTATTATATTAATTTTAATTAATCAATAAAATTGATACTTGGGGCATTCTGTATATTAATATCCACATTTCCTCCAACTTTAGGTCAAATCGGAGGAGCCTTTTTCAAACTATAGAGGAGACAAAATCAACATTTGCAGACTTAAATGTGGAAGTATTTTTTAAAATTAGTAATAGAATTTAATAAAATGGATTGCTTAGTTTTTTGTTCATCAATCCAGAGGTGCCCAAGATCGATGGCGCATGGTCCCGTTTCCCCCAAGAAATTTTACTGCTCTTCTTTTGTTAAAAACAGTGGAAGTGAAGGTAGAATTGAAAAAAATTGAAGATAATATAAAATTACACTTGCTGTGTATGCTCTATGTTGGTCCCCTTATTCCTTGCTTTGGAAGTTCCTCCAAACCGAATACTAACCAGAGGTGCCCATAAGGGGGTTTCATGGCGTAAGTTGCGCCTTCATAATTTTTGAGAGAGGTATATTTTGACGGAGTTTTGAATTTTTGAGGGGAGCAAATTTTGACAAGATTATGAATGTTCAGAATGAAAAGTTTCATAATAATGGGGCAAGAAGAAAACATAAAACAGAACGCAGCAAGTGTAATTGTGGGCGGGGTGGCCGAATGGGCTAACGCGTGTGCACTGCACCGTCGTTTCCCGGCAACCTGATGCGTCCCGGTGTCCGGATGAGTTTTTAAATCCCCGCCCACACTCCCTGGCCCGGGAAAACCCCGTATAGCCTTAAAGGCGAGGAAGGTGAGGACAGAAAAAAGTGTAATTGTGTATGATCTACGATTTTTTTAATTCTACCTAATTTTTCGCTTGCTCTGGTTTTAGAAAAATATGTGCAAGAAAATATCTTGGGAATGGAGAGAATAGGTTCCTGCGCCATTGACCTTGGGGGAGGGGGAATGGGCATCCCTGATACTACAAAAATAACACATATCACAGAATGATTGACGGATAGGGGGTATGCTCGTCTCATGGATTTGACTACAGACCGACACAGAGTAAAATTTGTTTTGGAACGAATTTTCGATAATAATCACATTTTTACTTTAACTTACCAATATAATTATCATCATAAAAGATGTCGCGAGTATTTCTTTTAATAATATAACAATATTATAAGAATGAAAAAAGTTGTCAGTATTCTCTGACTAAATAAAAAAACGTCTGTCAAGTAACGTCAGTAAAGCTTTCTCACTGTTTTCATTGGTTAAAATATATCTATATTACAAGGTATACAATTTTTCGTATGAGAATAAAATCTCTGGGAGAAGCCGATTCGGAAATACTTCAACATTCGCGGATTTGATATCCACGAATTTCGTTTATCAGCTATTATTAAAATGCTTAAGAGTGCCGTATTTGAAGATTCCGTATTTGATTATTCTTAATTTAAAAAGAAAAATACCAATGCATACTGGACATGCATTTCACTAGTGTTAGTGGAAAGAGTCGTATGTATAAATTGATTGTTTTACAAGAGAGCATAAAAACTCATTATTTCTTTATGATTTATTAATATAATTTTATACTTTATTGTTATCTACTATTTTTCATAGTAGCAGTTGCAGACTACAAAATGTCACCTTTTGCACAAATAGAATGAAATTTTAAAATTTTTACATACGACCTTTTTCCCTAATAGTAGTGATATATACTTAATAGGTATGTTTTCACTCGTAAAATGGATGGAATTAGAAAATCCATAGGAAAAATTCAATTTGTTGTTTGTTTGGAGTTAACGACACCAATACTTTTCTACAGTCAGAACAAAACGCATTAAGCTAAAAAATATAAAAATATGAGTGAAGTTCACACAACTTCCATATTTAAGGAGGGAATCGAGACCAACATGAAGTGGTTGAACTTCAATGGAAATAAACACAATCACACATAAGACTTCTTAAAAAAAAATAAATAAATAAGAGGAAAAATTAATTTAAATTTACTGATAATTACATGAAATCTAAGTAACGGCAGTAAGTGCCATGCCAGTAACGTTTAGAATTGACCAACCATACATTATAAATTAACTTTAATTAATAAAACCTAAAATTTTATAACCCCATATAATTTTTTTAATAAAACCTAAAATTTTATAATCCCGTAAAAATTTTGTCTTAAAATAACTCCCATTCCCATATGATCAATGCCTTCCATATTTCACAGCCATTATATTGTTTACAATTATTTATATTATTTTTAATTATTAAATGGAATTCAATGAAATTGATGCTAGGTAATTTCTATACTTCTCTAAATTTCCTCCAAATTTGGTTCAAAACGAATGCGCAGTTTTCAAACTATAGGCGTGTCAAATAATACATTTCC